ATGAAACGTAGTTTGTGATTTAAATAGTTTTTAATAAAGCTTTGCAATTTTAAAATTATATGCGTCCCGTAACTTATGGAAGGTTAGCAGGATTTGGGTTAAAATTCTTGATTAACAAAACTCATCGAACAACTAAACCAGGCGATCAAAAAGCCCAATCGCAATAAGCAAGTAGCGGAGTAAAATTGAGTAAAATGTAAAAAAAATAAATTGTTTTTATCGTAAACCTATTGAACAAGAAAATAAAAATGTTAATGTACTTTGGTGCAATTTAAAAAATAGAGAAAACCAATCAAAACTATGCTTGATCAGCATAGCAAAATATCGTTTTTTTTAAGTAATAATCGTTGTTAAAGTAAAATCGCAATAATTGGTAGTTGAAAACTAAATTGGTAAAATAAAAACTCTGAATAGGTTACAAACCATACGTGTATAAAGTTGAACCTAAATAAAATAAATAAAGATAAAAAATTCTTTAGTTAAGCATTATACTAAATAATGTAATTAAACCTTTCAGCCCTTAAGGGTAAATGACTACTAGTTTTGGAAAGAATAAAGCCGGGGTGATCTCCCCTAAACTTTCTCGAATATTCTAATATAACAGTAAAGGATGGCAATTCCAGTAGAAACAGGCTATAGAAATGTGTTTTATTACTTTTTTAAATACTAACAATTTTAAAATAAAATAGAATCGAGTGAAAAAGTAGTTGGGCACCAGATGAACATAAATAACGTGTGCATAATAGTGCGGAAAAATACTACTTTATAAAGAAACTTTAACTGATTTTTAAATGGTTGATTAAACGTTTTAGAAAGTCACATTTTATGTCACAGTGCATTGTCATCGAATCTTGACCTAATTGAAAAGTGTGAAACAAATCAGTCAGGTAAAAGTGATGTTTCTTGAGAAATGGAAAATAAAGTACAATACTACTTCCGCTCACCAGAAAACACTCAAAAAAATGTAAGATAAAAAGAGAATACAACTAGGTGTAGAATTTTGTCCACCTCTACTGAAAAGGTATTCTATTTACCAGTATTTTTTAAAAAAGAATTACAGTAAAGTTCCACTTCTGGTTATCTGAGGGCTATTGAAAATTAAAAGCAATCTATGTATTATATAATATTTTTATATATGAAATTTCCTCAATCTAACTGAAATAGTACTCAAGTTACTTTGTTTACACTGAAATAAACTAAATTGCAACTTCTATCTATCAAAGATAGTTCAACATTTAAAATCTTGTCCATCTAACTTAACAGTACTAAATTTATTGGCTTTTGAGAAACTAAAAATAGAGTAAGTACCACTTCAGGTTACCGAAAATCGCTCAAAAGTTTACACAAAACTTTACATTTGATATAATACTTACATATGAGCTTTCGTCAACATAACTAAACGTTACTCAAGTTATTGTGTTTACAGAAAGACAGAAGTAAAGACAAACGTCGTAAAGCTTCGATTTTTTTGCACGATTACAATACATTTTGTATACTCCTTATACGACAAATTAAAAAGAAGTTTAAAGCCTACAGTTTTACATTGATAAAATAACTTCAGAAACATTAAGGTGGATTATCTTTAACATGAGAAGTTCGTGTAAAATTAAAACAGAAAGAAACAAAACAAACCAACATTGTTCGGATATTGATTGTTTCTTAAACGTTTATTTAGCCCAGATGAAGCTTATAAGACATCTCAAAGTGTGGGAACTTGGTAAAACTGGTTATTATTTGTAAACGTCCTTAAATATTTAAACTGATTTGGTTTTACCCCTTAAAGTGAACTGATTTTAATAACATGAAAATCACATAGGCAAAATAAGTTTGACACTAATGGGTATAATGTAAAAAAAAAACCCAACAAACCTCACAAAAAGGCAAAGAAAATATAAAACCACAAACATTTATCTAAAATAATACTATTACTAAAAAATCAATGGACAGAAATGATTTTACATAATACATCTTCCACTGTATAATGTAAATATTGAAATTGTTTGATAAAAATAAATAAATAAAACTATGCGAACAAACAATAAGGAGTGCCTTGAAAACTTTTACTTTCTTGTTACGCTTTAAATCTGGCAGTTTTCTAGATTTCCTTCTTAGTAATATTTTAATTTTAAATAGAGTTACAATCAATATCATGGTAGGTGTCAATATCACGAGACTTTTGAAAAGATATGTCAGGTGTTGTAAAACATAATTTTCATTGTTATAATTTAAGTTGATATTAGGCACTAAATCAAAATGTTGTCTGGTTTCTGAAAGAAAAGACCATGTATAAGATTGGCGATGCAAGCTGCAAGAGAGATTCAGAATAATACAAATGTTTAGAGTTACCACTATTAGTTTGGTCGTGTTAGTGTTGAGCGAGTGTCTAGTAGCAGGGTACAAGACAGTGGTAGCCTGCAGGATGGCTAGTGTTGATTGATGACACACGTTGATTACAAGACCCACGTTGTTGGACACCAGGTACAGCCCGTACGGGAACTCGTGGTCAGTGGCAGACGTCAGGAGCTGAAAGTTCACCATCCTCATGGCGAGGGTTGTGACGTAATAAAACAAGTTGCAGACAGACAGTGACGTCAGGATGACGTCTGGTGAATTTTTCAACTTTTGTCGAAATAATATTGCGATGTTGAAAATATTTCCCAGAATTCCAAGAACATAAAGTGGTATCTGAACACACAGATCGAATAATTCGTAAGCCTCTGCTCTAACGCTAACAAACAACCGAAAAGAGTAATAGTTTCCAGGTGTGCAAGACAAAGAAGTAACACTCGAGTTCAAAGCAATTTTATGGAACATTTTTTTTTGTAGTGTTAAAACTGTTGCGTATTAATTACGGGCGCTGGTTTAAAAAAATAATTATATATTAACCCAATTTAGTGTTGGTAGTGAAAAAAAAATCATGTTGAAACAATGTGAGAATTTAGCTAATAAGCTTGCCTTTAACAATCTAAATAATAAAATAATGTCTTGGCAAATTAAATCATTATATCTTCAAAAATACGGAAAAATGTGACGATTTATTATTCCTATAATATTGGTATAACTATTTTAATGATTATTCTGTTTTTAAACGTTAGCTCTTTCAAAGAATATTCTATTAAAACGATCTATTACAGTCTCTTAAAGATAAAAATTAACTAAAATTACATTTCAATTTAGGACGTATAACATACTAATTATAACCTAAATTATGACCTAAAATATTGATCTGATCAAAGAAAATATTAATGATTAAAAACCCAAAATCTAACTTGTTTTTATTTTGGACTGCTGAATGCTAATTTTTCAGTGTAAATCCCCCCCCCCAAAAAAAACAACAAAAAAAACAAACAAACAAACAAACCGAGTTGCTAAAACTACAAAATTAAGTGTATATCTATAAAATACCTTTAGAATTCAAAGTAACTGAAAAAATAGTAAAAAATGTTATTTTTCTATGAAAGAATATCCTGTCTTATTTAAAACATGTTGCAGGGATAAAAAGTTATTATTTTTGATATAACATAAGTTGTCAAGAAATACCTGCTAGGTTATAAAATATGTGTAAAGAGCACTGAGTACTTCATCTGCTACTTACGAATCTTTTGGGGAATTATGAAACACACACCTTTAAACAATAATTCACTCTACAACGGAAATATATCTCGAATGTCTATAAAATAATTAGTTGCTAGAATTGTTTACCCAAAGCATTATAACGTTTATATACGCAAGTAGTTTAAACTAAAAAGCCCTGTCAATTAGAAGTGGTGACCTGAAGTTTTAAAACAATTTATTTAGAAAAATGTGACGAAAAAAAACACAACAACAATGAATACGACTTTAGGTTATAAATTATTTTTATAGATACATGTAGTAAAACAAAAAAGAACACTGAAGACAAAGAAAATAATTTCTTGAGATAATTGTGAATAAAAACTAAAATAAAAAAATTTAAAAATATTTTCTTTAAATTAAATGCTACAAACAGACACACAACCCATTACTTTCTGCAATAAACCTTTTGAAACGTTATTGCGCCTCGATGTTGAAGCGTTAACTTTTTTTTTTCATTCTTAGTCTAAAACACATAGATTGTTATTGCACTTTTTAACTAGCCTACACTTCGACAGAAAGCGATTAACAAAAACAACACATTTTCTTCCACACAAAGGTATCGATGATATCTTGAAGCCGACAAATTGTTGTTTTAAATTGTCCCAATTTATCAATAAATTTTTATCGTAAAAAACCCTGAGGCATCAACTGCAACAAATACACGACTGGACGTTATATTTAATGTAAAATCGTTAGTAAGGTATATGGGTACTTGCAACTCAATTCAACATTTTAAGTATTCAATATCGTCGTCGGTATTATTTCTCAAACCTCACTCAGTCTTGAATTGCTAATTGTTATTGTACACAATTCTGAAGCGGTTATTTGTCTACCGGAATGCTTCAGCGTTTCGGAAAATAAATGAGATGACATAAAATTGTCCTGGCCGCGACCACGAAATTGATAATAGGGCTAAATATTTACTACCTCGGTTTTATACCAAGGGTATGAACGTGTCTGGGTGGGGGACGATTGGGGTAATAGAGAGGAAAGTGCTGCGAATAGATTAATCTTAATCGAGAAAAAGTTGTATATATAAATATATGTTTATTTAGATAGAATTGAGTGGTTTATTGTGAACTGTATTGAAGATGTACACGTCATTGCCCATCGACGACTACACCGTGCGGATTCTGGAAATATTTTTCAACGTTGCTTTAGGCATACCGTTGAGTGTCCTGGGAGTTGTGGTCAACATTTTAAACTTGCTAGTCTTGTCACGACACAACCTGAAGGAAACCACCAACATAATGTTGTTGTCTCTGTCTTCACTTGATCTTTTTTATTCTTTCACGTCGATTTTTGTACGCTTACCTAGTGTGATTAATCTTATTGATCCTTATTTCGCTTTAACGTTTGATACTTTTATAAGGTTGGTTATCGAAATGCCCAACTCTGTGAGTTTCGTCATCACAATTTTCCACGTCACAGCTATAGGAATTGAAAGAGCCATCGCCGTGTTATTTCCCTTTCACGTATCTCGTATATTCACACCCTACAGAGTCAAATGGATGTTGCTTGGTTTATACCTGTTTGGGTCTGTACCTGTTTGGCCTTACTACTACCGTATGACTTACAGATGGGTGTTTCTTCCAACTGTGAGTAGGACCGTTGCTATGCCGATATCAACAGATTTTTATTTTAACAATATTCAAGTTATTCTTGACTATGTGAATTATTTTGTAAACAACACAACAACCACAGTGCCAATCATCTTAATCTTTATCTGTTCAAGTCTGATTATTTTTCAACTTAATCGTATAAAGACTAACGAACTGTCAAACAAAACATCCAAACATAAAAAGGAAATAAAAGTCGTGAAGATGTTGTTGGTTGTTTGTCTCGTCAGCTTCATGGTGTTGGTGCCGGAGTACGTCCTCCACAGTTACCTGGTGTATTACCTAGACGAGCTGTCCTGGAATTTTCACAACTTGGTTTCGTTCCTCGTCCCTGTGGTGTACCAGGTCAACGCCTGCGTCAACTTTTTCATCTACATCACGATGAGCTCCAAGTTTGCAGAGACTTACAAGTCTATCGTAGGTTGTGGTCGAAAATCTTTCAGCAAAAAGTAAAGAAAAAATAGCTTAAAAACTGTTTTACCAGCACCATCATCAACCAAGAGGTAGAGAATATTCATGGTGTATTCCAAATTTGTCTTTCCCTTGGTTTTTATGTTTAGAGAAACAAAAATAGCTCTGAACAGTGTTACACAAAAGTATTTGTCTCCCATTAAACTATTAAAATTAACACACGGGACAAAAACAAATAAACAAATAAAAAAACCCACCGCATTGTCTGTTTAGCTCTGTTCTGAAAGAACTTCATTTTAATAAATATGAAGCCATTTATACGTAATGTTTGTTAAAGTGTATTTATTTTTATTTTTATTTCAGCAAACTAATCATCTTGATTGGTTTATCCTGCTTTTATAGGGCAGTCGACTTCTGCATTACAACACTTGGGGTAGTTTCATGTTTCGTAGGTGACAGTACAATACCTGGGATACTCGCTGTAGTTGCACCTGGAAATATGAAGTAGGGTAAAATAGCTAATCAATGATCTGGATATATATATATATATATATATATATATATATATATATATATATATATATATATATATATATATATATATATATATATATATATATATATATATATACTAGCGATCTTTGCGTTTCAAATTGAGAATTTTTTGACGCTCACAATGTTTTTCTAAAACTTAGTTTTTAAAACGTGAAGAAATCAGGTGGTATATTTTTGGATCTAAATTGTTGTGGTGCTGGTTTGTCTAAGTTACCGCCCAGAAGCCCTATTGCGTTCTGTATAAAAGTCGTGAGTCACCCTGGTTCGGGTTAATCATGGAATAGCATTTGCCGGAGTGTCACAATAATATTATGCTGAACAAAGGAATGTGAGTGCCGTAGTGCTCGTGTGGTATTCTGGGGCGCCTAATTGCAACCTCCTTGTACGCCGTCCTTTTGACACTTTTTTTTCGCAGAATCGTCACATGGATTCTTGCCAACAATCCTTGGGACGGAACCCCCTTACCCCCCCCCCCCCTCACAGTTATGATGATACCATGTCCCCCCTGGTCTGATTCCGTTTGGACAAACTCCCCCTGCAATACAACACTAGAATATAGTTTTAATTTATCCTCAATTGTTATAAAAACAACCATCATTTATAATTTCAACATGTATCGTTGGATTTTCATGAAGTTAAGACTATGTGGTAACACAATTGTTGAAACGTTTTGCCTACCTTCGGTAAATGTGACTTCGGCTGTTGTGAAACTGACACAAGCGAAGGAGATGAAACAAACGAGTAGAATTCTGTTCATCTTGATGTAGGTCTTGTTCCAGCGTATGTTGATGTAGTAATTGTTCCAGCGTCTAGTTCAGGACCTTGTAAGTTTGATGAAGACAAGTCAAAGTGTGACACGTTTTATACTTTCACTGTAACTTTGTCACATCTGGCGCAAAGAAAAGTATTCTAAATTACTTGTGATAATTTTGTGACTTTTCGTCTTTTTTAATATAGGTGATTTATAGAAACTGATGACAAACGTTGTTTCCTTCAAACACATTTTGAGAATATATCCCTACATTTGTGTGAAAGTTCAAGTTGTTTTTTTACAAGCTTTTATTTAACTCAATTCTTCGTCAGTCTGTCGTCAGTCTGTCTAGATCGAAACGCTCGAGCGAAAATTCGGACACTTCTAACTTACAGATGCGGTTCACAGTTTTCACGTAGGACAAGACACGAAGACAGTGCATTCGGAAATTAAATTTGACTTAATTGAATGCCTAATTAATTTTTTATGAATTTATTAAAATTTTGACCACATTAGTAGGCATTTCTATCCAACCACACCACACGCGTCATCACGTTCAATAGCGTGTCATCGCGTTCAATAGGCGCGCAATGGTTTTTAATCATGAAATTCAATTGTAAATAAAAACATGTTCAAGTACTAACATTTTTTCATAAAAAACGTTTTAATAACAAGCTTTTATGTACTAATGCATTAAAAAGTAGAAAATAAATATTATAGACTACTATTTAAATAACTATAAAGAAAAGCGTGGGTCTCTTTCTAAACATTAGTAAAAGTATCCAATAGATACTAAAGTGATCCACGCTACTTTTTAGTAGATTAGTACATAAAAGCTTGTTATTAAAAAGTTTTTTTATGAAATTAAAAAAAAATTAACATTAGGTTGCGGTGGTAGAAAATTTGTGATAACAACTGCATGAAAAAGGCTTTGGAAGCAAATCCAAAAAGAAAAGCAGACTGAAATCGGAGTCAAAGGCCTATATGGCAGATAACAATTTGACACGTAATACTTAATTGTTTTAATTAAACATACTGGCGGCTATTATTCTGAATGTTTCACATATTAGTTTTAGATTTTACTAGACTACCCATTATTCTTGAATAACCGTGTGTTTCGGGGACATCCATAAATGATGTCACATTTTTTTGAAGATTTTTATCTTTCCCCTTCCCTTCCCACTGTCACACATCTTCCCCAAAAGCCATACCACACATTCAAAAAGACGTCACACGTGAGACTTGTTTTTTTCTTTTAAAAGCATAGTTTTCTTTCTATAATATTTTCTGAGCTCGAACCTCATTTGAATCATAAACGAATAAATTATTCAAACTAACATCAAAGGGGTCGTCCATAAATGACGTCACACTCGTAAGGGGGAGGGGGGGGGAGGGGTCCGTAATTTTGTGCTGGTCATATGTCACCTGTTTAAACTACGGTAAGTAAGCACAACTTATGGGTTGTCTTCTAATTATAGAATTTGAAGAAATGAACTATTTCATTCAAATTATATTTAGATCTAGATTCTAGACGTACGCTTTAAAATGTATACAATTTTCTCAGTCAAACTAATACAAATTACTTAACAAAACAACATAATGACCGTTGAACAGCCTCGTTTTTAACGAAATCATTTTAGTCTCTTAATCAGTGTTGTATTGATTAATCTAATATCAAAAAGTTCAATTTTTTAAAATACTTTTATTTGCAATTAAAACAAGTACATCAACATCACATTTTTTTAAACATAATTTCGAGCATCTAATGAAAACGAAAGGTTTTGCAAATGTACATAATGAATATTTACATGATGTCATGTATATGATTATATATGATTATAAAAAAATTGCAAAGGATGACAGTAATATTTCTGAAATGACCATGAAACATTGTTAAAAAACAATGGAATCGCGATATCGTCGTTTTCGGCAGTCATCATTACCATGACGATGGTAAAACACGTTGGTCAAGCGACAGGCTACTCTTAGAAATCAATGAAACAAAAACTTGTTTATTAGCCAAGTGAAAAAGCAATTTTTTTCTGAAAATTGACTTTGCAAAAAACAAACAATATATATATATATATATATATATATATATATATATATATATATATATATATATATATATATATATATATATATATATATATATATATATATATATATATATATATATACATATATATATATATATATATATATATATATTTATATAATATAAGTTGCCAGCTCTGCTGTGTTCCTGACTCACGTTAGGGAAACAAAGGCGGCAGGTCATCGTGCACTTGTAAGGTCATTAAAACAGATGAACTCTAAACTCATCTTCATCTAATCCGTGTCTTGTGATCACGAAGTGGAAAAGATGAGGATTGCTCAGCATCAAGCTGTGCAGGGGCGGAACTAGAAATAAAGGGCCAACTTGCAAATATTTTTTAAAGCCCCCCCCCCATATATATATATATATATATATATATATATATATATGTATATATATATATATATATAAACACAAAATATGAACATAGGATATTCATTGCTGGCCTGTTCGGGTTTTTAATTATAAAAAAGAATATAAACCATGAAAGTTTTGTATAAGTAATGGTGTCTCGTGTTATGTTTATTTTTATGTTTTTTTGTATTTATATTATTAATTTTAAATACATTTCCTTTTTATACAATGTCCTTCTTTAGTAAGTACTTAAAAAAAAATAATAATTAAGAGAAGCAATTGCTTTTTAAATTGTTCAGTACAAATCTATTAAAAGGAGCATTTGATCTCCCTATTTGACTATTTAAAAAAAGGAAATAAGTCATGGAAGTGGTTTGAACGTTTTCTTATCCTTAATAAGTTTGATTGTAGGAGAAAGAGGACTCGGCTATCACAGTGGTTTAAAAACAAAGGAAAAAAGGATATACAAGAGCGTGGGGTGGTCTCTATAGAATAAAGATAATCCAACCGCAGCTACGGTAATCTTTTTTTGCAAAGCAAAAATGCAAGAAATTTTTTTTTTAACTATAATTTTTTATTATAGTCGGCTGTGGGCCCCTAAATGGCGTCCCCCCCCCCCCGCATTGCGGGGTCTGGCGGCACTGTAGTTTCGCCCCTGAAGCTGTGATGGGAACCTAAAAAAAATGGCGTAGCTTTTGTAGCAATTTTTTTCTATTTTTTATTAAAATAAAATGTCTCTATTTATAACCATTATTTATAACCTTGGCTCCTGTTTAATTTACAATTTTAAAATACTACTCCCAATCCCAAAATAATTATCTCCGATTGAATATTAGGGAACAAAGCGTAAGAATATGAAAACCTACTAGACAATATATATATATATATATATATATATATATATATATATATATATATATATATATGTGTGTGTATATATGTAAGCCCTGCTAGGGGGGATACCTTAAATCTACCCTTCTAGGCTTATCTAACTAACTACTGTCCGGTCAGTGCAAACCCGGATAAACCCAGACTGATTAATAATCTAACCTTAATCTAAATGATAAAAACAAAAAAAACTTTAATAATATAATAAAATTTATTTAACAAAAATATGGAACCAAAACTTACATAAAGAAAACTAGATCTCTAGAATCTAGATCTAGACAAAACAAAACAATTTATATATAACAAAACAGAACTCAACGAAACAAAACAATTTATATATAACAAAACACCCAATTTCGGACTACATCATAGAAAAGGAAAAAAATGATACATTAATTAACATAAAAAAGGTTATATACAAAGTATTAAACACAGGCTGACTGGATTACATCTCAACAGCCTGTAGGTAGTTCACACAGAACAAACTCTAAAAATTACCTGGAATATCACCAGGAAACTGAGCTCTAAACTACTAGCTCAACAGACAGTTACCAGCCAAACAAAAGGCTCACGTAATATAAAATCTATTAATGTCATGTGCACATCCCTAGTGACTTAGAATGAACCAAACACTCTCCTGGGGGTCAACAAGATCACCCCAGGAAGTGTAAGTCAACTATAATGGCTTTAAAATAGTATAAACAACTTACAAGCAACATAACCAAACCCGACAGTCAGGAATGAACCGTAACTGTGAGTCAGGCAACAATAACTCCACTATTTAACCCAACAGCCAGGAGTAAACCATAACTGCGGGTCAAGTCTAAAAAAACTTTATCCCTGGCTTAACACCAGCTCAAGGGATACAACCAATAAAATATGTGTACCACTTAACCCAACAGCCAGGAGTAAACCATAACTGTGGGCCAAGTATAAATAAGCATTATCCCTGGCTTAATACAAGCCCAAGGGATACAACAAAGTAACAAAATAACATAAACATAATAATATAATAAAACTCAGAATCTGAGTCCACATGGTCTGACAAATCCACAATGGCAGTAAGAAAACAGCCACAGAAAAAAGCTTATGGCCAGCAACCAAAAATAAAAAGCAAAATAAAAATGTTTATAACTTACCAGGGTTGCAACGAACAAATACACAAAATAATAAGAGCTAGCTGATGTACTTCTGACTTGATGGTAAGAGGAACGCTTTCGTCCTCACCTCATCATTTCATCACACACAAAAGGACAGAATCATCAAGCCGGAAATCGACTTTCACACACCTCACACACTACCCGTAAACAAATAGTCCCTAATTCACAGATAACAAACCAAACGCCACGAAACATGCAACAGAATTACATAAAAAGACACTTAATATAAACCTTGACAACAATATAACGAATTATATACAAACTAGCTGTAAACAGGGACATAAACAGTGAGACAGCAGCGCCATAATACGGGACTACACAACTAAAAACTACGAACAATTTACGACATGAAACGAAACGATACATTCGCCTTCTAAGTTATAAATAACAATAAAATACACTCCAGCCGCTCATATATATATATATATATATATATATATATATATATATATATATATATATATATATATATCACCACGAAGTAACAAGTAATACACACACACACACACACATATATATATATATATATATATATATATATATATATATATATATATATATATATATATATATATATATATATATATACATGTATGTGTGTGTGGTGTGTGTGTTGTTTTAATTTTACTAAACTAAAACTTTTAAGTTTTAGTACCCTTAAAAAAATGTACTTAAATAATATATTAAAATAGGCTGTTAAAAGAGATTTTTAAAAATATTTTATACTCAGCTAAAAAGACTAGAATAGAAATGTTTCCTAGATAGACTAAAACTATACTACGAACCCTCATATTAATATATTATAGTGAATAGTAAGAAATACTCGTATCCCATTGATGATGACCCACGCATGCGCAACTGCTTGAACTCGGTACAGATAGTTTTGTCAAAAGAATGAGGCTAAACAGGAAAACTGATCCCATTACGCAGCTATAAAAGGATAATTTACTAATGTTAAGGAAGACACCCACGCTTTTCTTTATAGTTATTTAAATAGTAGTCTATAATTTATTTTCTACTTTTTAGTGCATTACTACATAAAAGCTTGTTATTAAAACGTTTTTTTAATGAATTTTTACTTTCTCGTAATACAAAGTATAGAGAAAGTCTTGTAATCGTGCAAAAAAAAAAAATCGAGATTTTAAAAATTCTCGACGTTTTACACCTCACTGATACGTAAAAGCATAATTTTGCAATCTTGTCCGTATGTCTGTGGGTCTGTCTCTCTGTATGTGTGTGTGTGTGTGTCTGTGTGTAAACACGATAACTTGAGCACCGTTACAGCTAGGTTGATGAAATTTCATATATAAGTATTTTATCAAAATCGTAGATCCTGATCAACTTTTGAGCGATTTCCAATAAACGGAAGTGGTACTTTTTCTACTTTGAATTTTTCAAAAGAATATAACTTGAGTACTTTTTCAGATAGATAAATGAAATTTCACATGTAAGTAAAAGATTTAATTCTCTACCGTCTGTCAAATTCTGATAAATGTCCGTTGACCGGAAGTACTAATTTACGCTATTTCCAATTTCTCAAAAAAAAACGCATGTAGATTTATAGAGTACTAATAATATTGCGCACTATTATGCACATTTTGTTTTGGCGTTCGCTTGGTGCGCAATTATTTTTTTTTTACGAGATTCTATTCTATTTTTAAAAGTTTAAGTAATTAAAAATCATGTCTATATTCTGAGTTATATAAGAATATTCAAGAAAGTTTAGGGGAGATCACTCCCGGTTTATTTTTTCAGTACTTTAAATGTTTTATTTACAATAGAGTTACATGACTAAAAACCATTGCGCGCCTACTGAACGTGATGGCGCAGCTATTGAACGTGATGACGCGTGTGGTGTGGTTGGATAGACATGCCTACTAATTGGGTCCAAATTTTAATTAATTCATAAAAAAATTAATTAGGCATCCAATTAAGTCAAATTTAATTTCAGATTGCATTGTCTTCATGTCTTGACCCACGTGCCAACTGTGAATCGTATCGGTCATGTAGAAGTGTCCAATTTTCGCTCCAGCGTTTCGATCTAGACAGACTGACGACTGACGACTGACGACAGACAGAGGAAGTGAGTTGAATAAAAGCTTGTAAAAATATGCGATGTTTGTGAAAATCAATAAATAGTGAGAATTATACAAAAAAAGTCATTTTCAAATCTACCAGACACTTAAGTTTCATCTATTTAGTTTTCCTCTTTTGCATAATTTACGCAAAGTAAGTAATTACCAAAATAATTTTGATAAAGTATAACAAACAAACACTAGCTTATTAAATTAAGAAAAATAATTATAAAGAAATGTTTAGAAATGTATGTAAATTTAGAATCAACAATTGATAAGAAAATGATATAGGCCTATTTCTAATTAAAATAAATGTTTAGGGGTTCTGAGCTTAAGTAACAATGAACAATTACATTATATTTTGATCTTAAATTGAAGTTACATGCACGTATTCTGAACTAATACATGTGATCCAGTAAGGTAAACTCAATATTCTGCTACTGAAATCAACGTATTAACTACTTCACGTCTATCTGCACATTTCATGACTTAAGATAAATAAAATAAGATAAATATTTCTTGCTAGTGTCCCATAAATGGGATGTTTGTGCAACAATCTACATGTGGCCGTTCGTTACTTGCATCCCACTTATGGGATGTCTGTTGTACAATTAATATAACGAAGTAGTAAAAAAAAATGTTACTCTTAAATTTTTGTTAGATAAAAATATGCTATTGCTACGATTTTCAAATCTATTTTTAAGAAGATATGCATTTTTCAGTGCGCGTGTTCCCCCCCCCCCCCCCACCATTTTGACAAGTCTAGCAAAGCCGGCGCTATAACTTCTTTCTAAATTATTTTTTTTTTTTACAAAAACACACAAATACAACAGTCGAATTTCCAAATTACAATGAACACATAGTTTGTGCTTTAAATAGTTTTCAATAAAGCTTTGCAATTTTTAAAAAATATGCGTCTTGTAACTTATGGAAGGTTAGCAGGGTTTGGGTTAAAATTCTTGATTAACAAAACTCATCGAACAGCTAAACCAGGCGATCAAAAAGCCCAATCACAATAAGCAAGTAGCGGAGTAAAATTGAGTAAAATGTAAAAAATATATTGTTTTTATTGTAAACCTATTGAACAAGAAAATAAAAATGTTAATGTACTTTGGTGCAATTTTAAAAAATAGAGAAAACCAATCAAAACTATGCTTGATCAGCATAGCAAAATATCGTTTTTTTTTAGTAATAATCGTTGTTAAAAAGTAAAATCGCAATAATTGGTAGTTGAAAACTAAATTTGTAAAATAAAAACTCTGAATAGGTTACAAACCATACGTGTATAAAGTTGAACCTAAATAAAATAAATAAAGATAAAAAAAGTCTTTAGTTAAGCATTATACTAAATAATGTAATTAAACCTTTCAGTCCTTAAGGGTAAATGACTACTAGTTTTGGAAAGAATAAAGCCGGGGTGATCTCCCCTAAACTTTCTCGAATATTCTAATATAACAGTAAAGGATGGCAATTCCAGTAGAAACAGGCTATAGAAATGTGTTTTATTACTTTTTTAAATACTAACAATTTTAAAATAAAATAGAATCGAGTGAAAAAGTAGTTGGGCACCAGATGAACATAAATAACGTGTGCATAATAGTGCGGAAAAATACTACTTTATAAAGAAACTTTAACTGATTTTTAAATGGTTGATTAAACGTTTTAGAAAGTCACATTTTATGTCACAGTGCATTGTCATCGAATCTTGACCTAATTGAAAAGTGTGAAACAAATCAGTCAGGTAAAAGTGATGTTTCTTGAGAAATGGAAAATAAAGTACAATACTACTTCCGCTCACCAGAAAACACTCAAAAAATGTAAGATAAAAAGAGAATACAACTAGGTGTAGAATTTTGTCCACCTCTACTGAAAAGGTATTCTATTTACCAGTATTTTTAAAAAAAGAATTACAGTAAAGTTCCACTTCTGGTTATCTGAAAGCAATTGAAAATTAAAAGCAATCTATGTATTATATCATATTTTTATATATGAAATTTCCCCAATCTAACTTAAACAGTACTCAAGTTACTTTGTTTACACTGAAATAAACTAAATTGCAACTTCTATCTATCAAAGATAGTTCAACATTTAAAATCTTGTCCATCTAACTTAACAGTACTAAATTTATTGGCTTTTGAGAAACTAAAAATAGAGTAAGTACCACTTCAGGTTACCGAAAATCGCTCAAAAGTTTACACAAAACTTTACATTTGATATAATACTTACATATGAGCTTCCGTCAACATAACTAAACGTTACTCAAGTTATTGTGTTTACAGAAAGACAGAAGTAAAGACAAACGTCGTAAAACTTCGATTTTTTTCTGCACGATTACAATACTTTTTGTATACTCCTTATACGACAAATTATAAAGAAGTTTAAAGCCTACAGTTTTACATTGATAAAATAACTTTAGAAACATTAAGGTGGATTATCTTTAACATGAGAAGTTCGTGTAAAATTAAAACAGAAAGAAACAAAACAAACCAACATTGTTCGGATATTGATTGTTTCTTAAACGTTTATTTAGCCCAGATGAAGCTTATAAGACATTTCAAAGCGTGGGAACTTGGTAAAACTGGTTATTATTTGTACACGTCCTTAAATATTTAAACTGATTTGGTTTTACCCCTTAAAGTGAACTGATTTTAATAACATGAAAATCACATAGGCAAAATAAGATTGACACTAATGGGTATAATGTAAAAAAAAACCCCAACAAACCTCACAAAAAGGCAAAGAAAATATATAACCACAAACATTTATCTAAAATAATACTATTATTAAAAAATCAATGGACAAAAATGATTTTACATAATACATCTTCCAGTGTATAGTGTAAATATTGAAATTGTTTGATAAAAATAAATAAATAAAACTATGCGAACAAACAATAAGGAGTGCCTTGAAAACTTTTACTTTCTTGTTACGCTTTAAATCTGGCAGTTTTCTAGATTTCCTTCTTAGTAATATTTTAATTTTAAATAGAGTTACAATCAATATCATGGTAGGTGTCAATATCACGAGACTTTTGAAAAGATATGTCAGGTGTTGTAA